CCTCCAAAACCGATATGAATAGTAAAACATCATCCTCAAATATCGTCAAACCATCGACCTGGCAGGTTCAACTTAACGACCAACACGAAGATCCCTCTTCGACCGATAACCTCCACCTTAACCTCTCAACTAGCTCATCATTCTCATCCTCATTGGGTCCCTCATGCTCAACTGCTCAACTAGATCTAGATGACCTCAGGGAAGCCATGTCGGATAACCCATGCTTCGACACCGTCTCCTCCTCAAGCTGTCGTTCGCGATCTCAACTTACCTCTCCTGCCTCCCTATTTAATCATATCCCAGAATCACCCCTACCACTCAACCTCACTCAATCCACCAAGAAGAAGAGCAACTACCACTCTCCTTCTACCTCAAAGTTATTTCATCCGTCCAGCATCCTCAATGGCAAGTATCGAAAATCTGCACCGATTCCACCCATCCTACCACCTTCATCAGATCATCATGATCACCACAACTACCACCAGCACCACCAGCACCAGCACCACCACCACCAGAGTATTGAAGAATTAACAGCTGAACGAAGAGGTACCATTACTTCATCATCTACCCTTCACACGCGCACAACTTCGATTGGTAGCAGTCTCAGCGGAGTCTCATCCGCCCCTGGTACCCGTCAGCCACCCAACAACGTCTGGGGTCTCTATGGATGGAAATGGAATAAACGTAACAAGATAAACAGCGCACCCGTCGGCGCACAGATCGAAGTTGATGGCCCGGCGAATGGCGAGGATTGCGTGTCCCCAGAGAATGAACTTGGAGGCGGACCACTGGACGACCCTACCCTCATCGGTCCAGCTTCTGTAGACCGGCAAGAAAACTCGCAAATTCCACAGTCGCCCACTCGTCCCAAACGCAGTCCTACCGATGCCTCGAGCAGCAGTACAATACTTTCTGGATTGTTTGATAGCCTCACTCGGAGGTAAGCTCGTTTTTTTTTTTTTCAATTTTCTTTCTATTGCGCTGTCTTTTTTTCTTTCTTTCAAACTAACTAACAATAAATCAAATCCATTTATTCCAGAAAACGAGCTGAATCCAATCACTCTCACCTTCAGCAACCGTCTCTTCAATCCTTTCAACTCTCGTTCCACTGTCCCAGGATCATCCGAGGAACAATTCCCTGTGCCAATTGATGTCTCTTCAGTCTTGCCCCTCGCTC